CCTTTCTCCATTTCAATGGTCCAGGGTGGCTTCTGTTCATTGAACCTGTTGAAATGCTGAAGAACTTAAAATCTTATACAATTTTAGAGGGGTAAATCCTAAATCTCAGAAGCAAACAGTAATAGCTGACTTCTAGCTAAATCTCAAGCACAAAGAGCAATATTAAAAAATAATCTTATTTCATTCTCAGGTTACTAATACTTATTAATAACCTTTCCAAATTATTATCCATATTGGAATTTACTTGATAAAGATAACTTACATCAAAGCACTATTAGTAACATTTTTGAGATTAAATTAAATGAAAGTTGGCAAAGATATTCACTATATATTTGTTAATAGGTCCTTTTATTAAAGAAATATATACAGCATCTTTAAGTATTTCAAACATCTCACATTTGGATATAGAATATAAGTTTCTACAAGATTAGTACTAATTATTTCTATTAAATTTTGTTTTTTAGTAGAAGAAAAGGTCTACTGGTGGTACTTCATTTGCTTCTATTAATACTGTAGAAAATAACTCCACAAGTTGATGGATAATTACAAAGTGTTAACTACTCTTCACAACGGTAAGACAAAACATGTACAGAGCATGCAAAGACCTAACTACATGCAAAGTCATAACTAGAATCTGAACTAGAGTCCAGAGATGCTGGTTATGGCCCCACCACCTGTGAGACATTAAGAAAACCATCTTTACACTTCAATTATGTATAAAATGAAACATAATAGGATAATCCTACTCAGGTTTACAACATCTAAGAATCTATTACTAGAAGACATAATGATAATCACCACCCCCCAAAATAAGGAGTATTCACAGGCAAGTACTAAATTCTTTAAATTATACAAACACACACACAGAGATCTAGAAACACTAACACACATATGCCCAAATATTGAATGGTGCGCTAGGACCAAAACCTGAAGTAAAAAACATGCCAAAGGGATGTAAAAAAGTAAAACAGGTAGAGTAGAAGGTGGGGGATGGGAGGTGTTAAATCTATAGAAATCTGCCCTAAAGCTAAAAGGGCAGAGAATGGAGACTGAAGTTCCATATTTAACAGGGCTTTACTAATTTTTTTTAATGTGTTTTATGGAGAAAATCACTAGACTCATCAACTTCCAAATGTCTTTGTGGCCTCTGTAATGTATCTTGGCTCATAGTAGCCACAGTAGGTACCTAAGAGATATTAGTGGACCCCCTGCTAATTCACTGGTAACTAACTGAAGCATACTCTAAAACTACAGTCTCAATATTTGTGTCCCCTACAAATTCCTATGCTGAAAGCCTAAATGACGCAGAAATTACCTAAAGAAATACAAGTGATTAAAGGTTATATGCCAAAGACACTGTAGGCACCCAAAGAATCCTGTTAAATGGACTAGACAAGTGGGATGACTAATAAGTACCCTTACTTACAAAGTTACTTTTTAGGAGGCAGGACTTTGGGGAAGATCTGCCCCCATGAATGGATTAATGCCCTTACTGAAGAGGCCCAAAGGAAAACCCCTTTATCCTTTTCACTACAGAAGGTTACAGTGAAAAGGTAGCTATCTTAAGATCCAGGAAGAAAGCCCTCACCAAACATACAGGAATTTGCCCGCACCCTGATCTTGGACTTCTCATCCTCCAAAACTGTGAAAAATAAAGTTTTTAAAAAATAATTGTTTGTCTCCAGTATTTTATAATAACAGCCTGAAGAGACTAAGACATCTAGTAACATACTCTCAGGTAAACACTAGGAATCCTCTGAGTCCTTGCCCTCTAAAAGTTGAGTTCACACTGTGAAAGAAAACAAGTAGTATAAAGCATAAAATGCTATAGGTCACTATGTATATAGTACTTCAGACCTTTCCAAAAAAAAAAAAAAAACTGAAGAGGAAGACTATAAGGTAACATTTATTGAGTGCCCATGGATTAAGCATTTAACATGCTTGCAAATCTGAGTTAGTTTCACCGTCCTGTCTTACAGATAACAAAACTGTGATTCACCAAAATTAAAAACAGGTTCTAATGGCAAAGCTATTTCCACTATATGTACCAAGATATCTCTGATTACATTATCTTTACACTTGTCTGAGAGGGGAATTTTCAAAGCTATTCAAAATTATCATCCTGAATTATGATGAAAAGAGCATTTAAGACTTTTTTTAAAAAAAATATAACCTTGTGGCACATGCATTACTTACTTGAATGATCACTTTTTGATTTCTCTTCACCCATGAACATCAGAAAACTGTACCTTTTAATAGCTGTATATTCACCTTAAATGCACCTGCATTTAAGCCTGTACAATTTATTAAGTCTAAATAAAAAGTATACAACATGATTGGATAATATAACCAATATTCATTTTAAAAAATAGAAATTTGGAAACATTAAGTGCTCAGGAAGAAAAACTGAGATATGATCCATCTATAGTTTTGGGTCATTCCAATATTGAAATAATAAATTATTACAATTATTTTGAGAAAGGAGACTGACGCAGAAATCACCCAAAGTTTAAGAAATACAAATGATTAAAGGTTACAGGCCAAAGACACTGTAGGCACCCAAAGAATCCTGTTAAATGGACTAGACAAGTGGGATGTCTAATAAGTACCCTTACTTACAAAGTTACTTTTTAAGCTATGAAAAAAAAAATAATAAGGGTATATTTTAAGAGCTATAAAACAAAAGCAGACTACAAAACCTCTGAAATCAAAACACAGTATGTTGTATCTCTGCATAGGTTACACTCCTCAGGGATGAGGGCAATGTCCAAAAGATGGTGTGTACACTACTTAGCACACTAATGCTAGTTAAACATTGACAAAATAAGACATTCATAGCTTATTTTCATAGCTTATACATTCTATTTTTATAAATAAAGATTACAAATTATTTCTATATTTTTGCATCCTTCTATGCATATCACAAATATGTAAAAATTATAAATTATTTCTGAAGTTTTTTTTTTTTGCTGTTGTGAATGTTGTTTTGTTTTGTTTTTAAGTCGGTTTTTGTGGTGCTTTTTAATGTTTAGGAGTCATCCTTAAAGCTTATTAACAGCATCATTAATACTGTATTCAATTCATTAAAAACATGATAAGTAGCTTATATTTAAAAGCAAATCTAATTCCAAAACTATTTTCACTACACATACCAAGACCAAATTTTTTTCTCTCTCCTAAATTCTAAATTTTACATGATTTACCAAATAATTTCTTAAGTGTATTTAAGTGTAGTCAGATGTGTAAGAAAAACGCTTCTGATGCCACTTGTTCAATTTAGCCACCAAAATTTACTGGGTACCGACGTGTCTTTGACATAACTTTTAATATTTTTATTTCTTAAACCTTAAACTTTAGGTTGTCTTTATTTCAAATTCCCTTCCCTTTCCAAAAAAACAGAAACAAAAAACACTGTAGAATAAACCATTTGGGTTTTTTCCCCCAATACTGAATGAATGGAATGATCAAAAACTATGGGCCATATTCATATTAGGCCTGTAAATTCCATATGCTATTCAGTTTATATTTCCAACAGCACCCTAGCCAGTAAATAAATATAATCTCAAACAGATTTTGCGGTGTTTCTATTTTAATACGACCACAGGAAGCCAAAAATAATAGACTAGATTATCTTTCTAGAATTCTAAGATTAACCAGTGTCTGCATTAAAATCATATTTTATATTTTACATACTAAAAAAATATTTGGCACACTTAATTCTGGCTTTACCAACAAAAGCCTCTACCCCAAGATGAGGAAAACATCCTTTTCATTCTTTAACTAGAAAGGTTAAAAAAAACCAAAAAAGCCACCCGCTTTAAGATTTGCATTTATATTTAAGTCAGCTCTAACAAACCCAAGAACTCACGTTCAAATCCAGAAACCTGGCGATCAACAAGACATGAGTAATCTGTGAGCACAATCCTTGGGATTGACATACCACTTCATCCGCCCTCCCTCAGTATCAATCCACCCCCAAAACCCCAACCCACTATGCACACGATTAAATATGTCTTCCCCAAGAGAGCCGAAAACGCCGAGAAAGAGCTCCCCTTTGAATGAAAAGGCATCCTTTGCTAGCCTAGAGGCCCTGGCCGGCTCTGCGATCCTAGCTCCAATAGGGCCCCATCTCGACGCCCAGCACGTCCGCCCCGCCCCGGGCCCTCTCGAGTCCCCTTGGACGACAAAACCCTCCTTCCAGCGTATATCCAGGACTGACAGTTAAGGCTGCAGCAGCCGCGGCCACCAGGGGCCTACTCCTGGCACCGGCCCCTCAACACCACGCGCCCCCAAACACTCTATCCGGCAGAGGTGGGGGTGGGGGAAGGGATGCCTATCCTTGCCAGAAGGGTCCCGAAGGATGGCGAGGGCAAAAAAGGAGACCAAGGGGAGAACGCGCTCCGGGCCCAGACCGAGTCCGCAGCAATACTAACCTGTCGTCGCCCCCGCGCCTGGGCTGCGGCCCTCGCAGCTGCGGCCGCTTCACTGGTCGTCGTCGCCCTCGCCCACCGCCTCCGCCCGCCACCGCCTCGTTCCCTTTCGCTGCCGCCACCGCCGGGGCTCATGCGGGACCCGCGCTTCCTTCTCTGGAAACCGAGGCCGGGAAACGGGGCGCCTAGGCCGCCGAAAACCCGGCACTCGTCGCTAGCCGCCGCTGTCTGTCCACACTGGGGGGCTGCGAGGCCCTCCTGGCAGGGGCTACAGGCCGCGAGCTACTGAGAGGAGGAGCTGGGGGTGGCGCCGCTGCCCGCGACCGGGGTCGGCAGAGGTGAAGCGTAAGTCGGAGGCGGGTGGCGGGCGCCCGGGTCGGCAATAACTACGCGGTGGCAGGGTGCGCGAGCGAGCGAAGTGTGATGCGTCGGGATCCTGGCGATTGGTAAAAGGCCCTGTCGTCTCCTGTAGTCACCCCGAGCCCAGCGCCACCATCTTGGGAGAAACGCGGATCTCGCGACCGCGGCGCAAGACGGGAGGACTAGCTGGGCGGGCCGAGTATCCCGGCAGGCAGCGCGCGCCTCCCAGCCAGGCGAGGACTCCAAGCCGGACGCGGGGACGCGGGGCGGTGCTAGGATGAGCGCGGGAGGGCGGGGCCAAATCCCGTGCGACTCTGCCCTCACCTCCCGCTTACCGTCGCCGCCGGCGCAGGGGCCCGTGGGAAGGGGAGATGGCCTGCGGTCCCGCGGAGTCTGTTTAGGGTTGGTCGCCATCTTGAGACTGGGCAAAAAGAATAATCTCCCTTTTAAGCCCCTGCTCTCTGTCGCCTAATAGAAAGAATTGGGTACACTCTGGAAACCCCAGCGATCCCCAGAAGGGTTGGAGTCCCTGGCCTACCCAACCAAGAAACGCCTCCGATTTTATTGGGGAATGAATTGATTCCGTACGTCAGCTTGGGCAGTGTTGATAGTCCCCAGGCCCGAGGCAAGGCAGAACCGACAGATACTAGGTTCCGACCCGAATTCCTTTTCTCCCAGAGCTGCCCTTGTAAACATTTCAGGGGTGGCCCGAGAGTGTGAGCCAGTGTTCAAGGACCAAGGTCATCTGCTTAGGCCACTTGACAACACAGGATGTGATTAGAAGGTAAAAGCCCACCTCCCGTAGTGTTGACATTTAGTGGGTTGTCAAAGTAAGTGGTCTCTTAGTTGACTCCATGGGGGTAGAGGGTAATTTTAATCCGTATAACAGCCTAGCCTTTTTAAATCCATGTGTCATACTTGGTACTAGGGCGACTTAAAAAGGGTTGGGGGTTTTTTTGTTGTTGTTTTTTTGTTGTTGTTTTGTTCAAGGGGGATTTTGCTAGCGAAGTTATTTTAAAAATCACTAATTCAGTCTTAAGGTTTTCCACTTTTTGGATAAGCCTTTAAGTACTATGTGATACACCAGTCATCTAGTATTCAGAAAATGTTAATGTCATCAATCAGCAGTGAATTTTTACATTGCAATTCTTAATATCATCTTTTTTATAAAAATCAGGTAATTGACATTTTTATACATAAATGTGTATATATGGATAGAAATAATCCACCTCCCACCTATAATCAATTATTAAATTAACTATAAAAAATAAGCAAGAGTAATTTAAGTTATTCTAGGACAGTTGATGATAAATGAAAGTATTAAGCTATGTCTGATTGTAAGATATTTTTAAAATATCTTTATTCATTTTCCATTTCTCCCCCATTACAGATTCACATTTGGAAGCTACTGGCAACTGAGAATGAAAATCTTTGAATACGTTATTAGAATAAATAAAGCAAAATTTTACTACTAGATTTATCATATGAAGATACTTTTAGCTATTTTATTTTCTCTTAAATAGGAATTGTCTAAGTGAAATTAATTTTATAATAGACTGAAGTTTCAAATGTGGCTGAAATCCATGAGTTCTAAAAGAGTTTCAAGACTGAGGGAAGTAAATCTACTTTTAGATGTTGAAATGACTATTCTGGTTTTAAGTAAGACCAACAAAAAAAACTAATTCTTCCTGGGAATCTGAAAAAATTACCCTTATCCTTTTAGTTCTTCAAGTTATATATATATATTCTTGTGTGTGACTACAGTGTTAAACTTGATACAGGAACTCTGTATTTTTTGGTTTACCCATTTTTAAATTAAGAAATGTTGATTAATAAAAATTGTCAGCAATGAATATTATCAGGAGTCCTCAGGATACCAGTAGTGTTCCATTTCCATACATACAAGTTTTGATGAAAAAGAAAATGTTTATCTGAAACCAGACCCTTATTTCTCTTCAAGTATGTTTTCTCAGAAAAAAACTTCATATCTAAGTTTGCAGTAAATTCTTTAGACTATTCTAGTCCAAATGAGAACCAGTAGTTTCTAATAATTTTCCCATTTCAGGTAAAAAGTAAAAAAGCAGTATAATTTTATAAGTGTATACATCAATGCTATGTGCAAACTTTGAACTTGTGTTTACCCAGAACTGTGCCAGGCCTTGGGAATCAATAAAAGATCAACAATCTCTATCCTCCCCTCTAGAAGGCAGTTCAGGAGGATATCACACCTGTAAAAACTGAACACTTTTTCATGTGGAGTAGGGTTGTCTATTAATATGTACTAATACTAATATACTTTTTGAAAATGAAATATTTTTCCCTAATCTGCCAGTGAAGTGGGAGTTTTTGACAGGGCTGTTTCAGTGCTCAAAATTTCTTATTGATGTGAATCACAACAGATGAATTAAAAAATAAAACCACAATTTTTTATTATACAGCATGCCCCACAATCAGAAATAATCTGAGAGCATGAAGGAGAAAGTTCAGATGTGGTAATATTCACAATTGCTATTTTTAGGCTGCATCAAAATATAACACTCATCTCTTGAAAGATTCTAAGATTTTGGTGTATGAGTAGTTCCCAATATTTAACAAGTACTTCTGAAGCAAAATTAACTCCAAGAAGCATGTGATAAGTACCCAAGAAATGTTAGTTTCAATAAATAAAGAACACAATAAATGTTAGTGCTTACTAGAAATAGTAATATTAGTATTATTAATATTGTTATTTACTGTTACATATATCCAGTATGAACTCCTTAGTGCCCTGCTTTCATTCATACAGAGCTAAATTTGCCTTCTTCCTGACCTGTCAAGTATGAATCATCCTTCCTCCTTTATACAGACATTTTTTAAAAGGGGTCGCCTCAAGACCCCTTTAAAAAAAATTAACTCCCTCTGTTTTTCCCTCTCCTGTTCATAAATTCTCCCTCTATTTGTCTTTTCTGTTTTAAAAGGTATCTATACTCAGTTTACCATTTCCTTCCAAAACCTTCTTCAACTACTAAAATTTAGCACCTACCTCCATTTTACTTTATGCATTCCTTGTATCAATGTCACTATAACATAATAGCTAAATCAAAGGTTGCTTCTCACTTTTCATAGTATCTGATCTTTCTGCAACCTTCAACATGCTAACCAATGCCTCCTGGAAACTGCTCTTTTGTTCCATCACCTTAAGTTCTCTGACTTTTTTTTTCCAAGTGTTTTGGGCCACTCTTCCTCAATTCTCTTATGCAGAATCCTCTTCCTCTCCATCCTTGGTTCTCTTTGCCCTCCATATTACAATTTACATGTACTCTTTCTCTTTCACTTTGGTCAGAGTTCAAGTCTGAATATTGAACATAGACCTCACTTGGAAACTTAAGACACTAAGTTTTCAACCCTTTGTAGGGAATTTGAACTAGATTTCTATAACACCTCAAACACTGTCCCATTTTCCATCATTAACTGAGATGGGGATATCTGTGCAGAGGAGCAGATTTTAGAATAACAAGAAGGAATTCAGTTTTGACAATGATAAATTTGAAAAGCTTATTGGACAGCTGTAGTAGAGACTACTTGCTTGTTGATCCCTAATGTGCATATCAGTTTACACATACTGACCCCTTAGTGTGTCATGTCACTAAATTCTGGCCAATAGACTGTGAATAAAAATGATATTTGTACCTTCTGGATCACACTATTGAAAGAAATGATGCTAGGCTGCAGTGGTGCATGCATGTAATCCCAGCTACACAGGAAATTGAGGGAAGAGAATCACTTGAGCCCAGGATTCCAAGACTTGCCTGCGCAACATAATGAGACCCTCTGTTTAAAAAAAAAAAAAAAAAGAAGAAGAAGAAAAGGAATTCCACTTGCTGTTTCCCTTCATCCCTTTCTGAGGATTGAAATGTGGTGAGCTGTTTTGTTGGAAGGTTTGAATGATGGTATTCTCACCAAAATTTATGTTGAAACTTACCACCCATTATGGTGGTACTAAGAGGTAAAACCTTTTGGAGAAGTGATTAAGTCATGAGAGCTCTGCCCTTACACATGTGGATTATTGCGCCTATAAAAGTCCTGGAAAGAACTACTTTAGACCCTCCTTTGCCCTTCCTCACTTCCATCATGTGAATAGCATTCATCTCTTGCAGAGAATGCAACAAGGTGTCATCTTGGAAGCAGAGAGAAGCCTTCATTGGACACTGGACCTGCTAGTATCTTGATCTTAGACTTTCCAGCCTTTAGAACTGTGAGAAAATAAATTTCTATTCTTTGTAAATTACCCAATATCAGGTGTTTTGTTATAGCAGCACAAATTAAGATGGGGAAGGCACTCCCATTATCATAGAGCAATAAGGAGGATCCTGAGGCCTTCATTAGGCAAAAGTCTGTGTATCAGTTTGAACTTCGATTTGAATCAGCTGCTAACATTTGTAATCTGCCATGATTATTTTAGATCCCTTTTACTACAGATGAACTTGTATCCTAATACAGGAGTCTGGAGTTAGGGGAGAATGAAACCAAATCATCCTACCATCCTTGACTTACTTGATTACCATCTGTGGAAGTTCCCAGTCAAAATAAATCTTAGAAATCCTAGAGTTCTTTCTCCCAAGAGGCAAAGTCACATATTTCTTCCAGAATTCATATCAGGTAATGTAGCAAAATAGTTAAGAGCATAGGCCCCCAATTTACCTGCAAGTGACAGATGCCAAGCAAGATCATAATCCCTCCCCAGTTTAGTTTCCTCATGTATAAAAAGAGTTGTTGTGAGGATTAGATATTAATATACATAAAGCACTCAGAAGAATGCCCAGCGCATAGTACAACAAATGTTAATTTTTTTAAATCCCAAATCTCAGTTCTGCCAGATACAGAATCTTTAGTATTTCAATTGATATGTTTCCTTATCAGTAAAGTAGGAAAAATAATAGTAATGATCTCATAAGGCTACTATAGGCCTTCGTTCTTCCATTCAATATTAGTTTTGAGCAGATCTTATGTAGTAACACTATTCTAGGTGCCAAGAATAGAACAATCAACAAAACAAAGAGACTACCTTCATGAAGTTTATGATCTAACAGAGAAAGAAAATCAACATATGTGTGGTGTGTCAGAATATGATAAATGTCAAGGACAACCATAAAGCAATACAAAGGGAATAGAGACCGTTATAGGAGTTATGTCATGCAGGGTGGCCAGTGAAGGTGTCATTGAAAATATGACATTCAAGCAGAGGCTTGACATAAGTGAGAATGAGCTGTGGGGAATATAATGGGGAAAAAAACATTCTGGACATAAAGAGCACTGAGACAAAAAGGTGCCTAGAGCCACCTCAGACAACATAGGAATACACTATGGCTGGAGCAGAGAAAGCAGAAGTTAAAGAAGTCACCTTGGGTCACAGCCTGGAGCACTTTGTTGGTTATTCTAAGAACGTGGGTATAGCCACTAAATGATGTGGGAAGACTCTGGAAGAGTTTGAGAAAGTTTTTAAAAAAGATATAGCCTGTAGAAATTACATAGCTACAGTGTGAAGAATCAAAAATAGAGCATATAAAGTGTTTGATATCTGACAAATGGGAAGTATCCGGTAAATGGTAATAAGCACTATCATGATGACGATTCCTGATTTTATTATTATTATTATCACCATTATTGTAACATTCATGTGCTCCTCTATAATGGCTTTGTTACTCTCTTAATTTAGACCCTTAATGTTTCAGAACTAGACTGTAAGATCTACAAGGGCAAGGACATAATATTTCATTCACTGTTTTATACTGAACACTCAGCAAATTCTTGTCTATATTATACTACTTTACTACTGTATGTTCTTAACACAGAATCTTTTTTTTAAAGAAACAACTATGACTATATTACTTCTTTTCTTTATCAATGACTCTCCATGGCTTCTGAATATGGTCTAAAATCCAAGAACAAGGCTTATTAAATGTGGCCCCTGCCTCCCTTCCAGTTCCATCTCCCCATATCAACATGAACTCATTGCCCAAGCAGTACTTACACACTTGAGTCATTTGCAGTCCTTCTGCATGCAATGGATGAAGGTGGGTAACTCCTCAAAAAATGTTCAAATGAATGAGTGAATCAGCCCTTGTGAATGTAAAAGGGGTAAAAGAAAAGGAGGAAGTTAAGAACTAAGACCAGCGTGTCAAACAGAGAACCCTTTACGAAGCTACCATGTGATAAAGTAGTGTATCTTTAGATATTTCACATTTCATCTATGTCAAGTTATATAAGGTGGAGAGGTGCTTGCTTACGGAATTCAGTTGGGGACAGAAAAATCAGGCAAATTAATTTACTGTAAAAAATTCTCATGAATTCCAGTAACTAGGTAAGCAACAATGAATAATCTTTTGGAACCTTAGTATATCATGTATAAAATTAAGATAAAGTACTTGTGAATCTATGATTTACTCAACTACCAATTCACCTATAATGAATTCAACCACTAATTGCTCCTACATC